ACAATCTAAAATTGACGAGATGATTCTCACAATGCCCCAAAGGATCAATGACATCCATGAAGCAAAAGGAAGGTCTACTAGACATTAATTAAATTATAAATATATCAATTCATGTGAATATGACTGAAAAATTTCATTTTTTCTGAAAAGGTGGTGTCTATTTACTTGTGACCACGCTGTGTACATAATGTATAATAATTGAAATGTGACTGTATTTTACAAAATAGTATAGTATGATAATACCACCAGGTGAGCTCTTAGGTGGTCTTATGGAACACCTTATTTCTACAGAGCCTGTTGCAACCGATAGTAATTATAGTGAAACAGTAGTTGCTAGTGCAGAAATGGTTTGATAAAAGCCTGTCTGGGCAACACTCGCCACAGAGTGTGATCTTGTGAAAATAAGATAAAAAGACCCTGAAAGATAGAAATAAAAATACCCACCCGTTGGGATTATCTGGCAGAAATAGTCTAAATAGCTACTTAGATGAAGAAACTGCCAGATCAGGCAAATAATGTGAGATAAAGGTATTGGTGGAGGTCCACCTACCAGTCCACACAATGACCTCCAGTGGGTAATTCGACAGGGCTGCTAAGGTCATATAAAATATATCTATTTGATGTGAATTACAGAAGATAACTCGCCTTCAAAGAGAGCCCAGAATAAATTGTTGTCTAGTATTTCTACAGGTAGAAGTGCAGGCAACAAAACATTTAAGACCCTCACTGAACATGACAAAGATCGAAATCTGAGTGGACATGGAGAAAAAGAGTGAGTGGATGAATCAGACAAAAGGACTGAACACTTTTCCTGTGTGACAGAGTGTTGGGTAAGAAGAACTGCTCTGAGGACGTAGAGAGAGAATGAAAAAGTGGTCTATGGACAAACAATGCAAATCACTCCGATCAGTGATAGAAGATAGAGATAATTGAGTCCAGCGAACAGTAGGCACCGTGAGTAAAGTGTGTGAATCACTGTGATTTATAGCGTATGTTATAAAAGTTGTTAAGTGTATTACAAAGTTGTATCGAGAAAAAATAAACTAGTTTTAATTAAGAAAGAACTTGTATCCCTGAAGTTCCTCGGAAAGAATTCATACCGGAAATTAAGGAAATTATCAAACGAGCAGACACGTAACAATATTGAACGTTACCTTAGCCCAAAAAGATTGTATAAGAGATAACTTGTAACTTTTTGAATACATTTGAAAGAAGTTTAACTGCTGCTTCTGTAACACAGGCCCCCAATGGCACAGCGGTATGTCTGCGGACTTACAATGCTAGAAACCGGGTTTTGATACCCGTGGTGAGCAGAGCACAAATAGTCCATTGTGTAGCTTTGTGCAAAAATACAAACAAATACTGTAACACAGTATTATAATAAATGATTTCTTTGTCTTACACCTATAGCAACAAGCTCAAATTCCCCAATGCTTTCAAAAGTGTAAAGATCTGGCTTACAGACAATAAAATGATATAAAAAAACAACATCGACAATGACTAGGTTGACACGTTCACCAAACTATCTTGCCTGAAGGAATTCGTGATTGATACTGTTACGACAGCGGAAGTCATGTGACGCTGGTAACACGTGATGAGTTTCTAGAAGGATCCGGGAACATCACGAATAATCCAGTATTTGCTAGACGCCCTCTATTCCTGTATATAAGCTCGCTGGATAAAGCAAGACAATTAATCGGAATTGAATTGCAGACAGGCAGAGATAGAGACGGACAATTGAGTCAAGCGTTGTAGTGACCGTAAGTAAAGTGCGTGAATCGTTGTGAATAATAGCGTGTGTTTAAGTTAAAGTGACTGTGGAAATTAAGTGTATTGCAAAGTTGTATTGAGAAAGAATAAACTAGTTTTATTTAAGAAAGGACTTGTCTCACTGAAGTTTCATCCGAAAGAAATTATATGGGAAATTAACAAACTTCCAGAGACGCAACAATACACTATAGACTTTGCATCATATTATGGAAACATCTATGTCCGTTAAATGTAATATGAGATAATGGATGTAATTATTACATTGAGTATTCCGAAATTTATGAATTAAGTATCTGAAACTTACTCATTATTCTCATTATTATTAGAGTCAATAATTTTAATTATTTACTTATAATGTAAATAATTCCAAGCGACTACAGGTGGCGATACGTTTTTCCGCAACGGGACAAGTAGACACTGAAAGCAAAGTGAGAAACATAAATCTAATGTAACTTATGTGTATTTAATAAAATGAATAAAAATATTGCGTCTAAAGATGTACTTGAAAGTTTTGAAAAACTATCTAAAGATTTTCTAGGTATATGATGAATTATCAATGTTTTTGCGTGGAATAATAATAACTGAAGCATTTATTTGTTTTTCTAAATCTAATTTCAAAGCATAGTGTAAAGAGTAGTTCAATAAAATATTAGTATTACAATTTTACATTATTATTATTAACACTCTAGATCTAATATTAATAACAGCGATCCCAACCAAAGGTAAAGCTAACTGAAAATTCAGGCATTGTGTTTAGATCTTCTTGCCACTGAGTGAAGGAAACTGATTATATTGATAGAGTTGAGCAAATCCACAGCCCGAATTTCGAGCTACCCCGAATTCTTTCTCTCTTTTTCATTAAATTGATGGGTGTGGCAAAAATTTCGCCCAGTCATACATCGTGCAGGAATCATCCTGTTTGCATATAGACTATTCTTAATTATAATTTTTATAGAGTGTATATGGAAACATTAGTTTATGTTCATTGTAAATGTGAGACGAAACAATGGATGTGATTCTTACACTAATTAGTAAGAATTCAGATGTTTGAAAATAAAACATTGTTTCTATTTTTCATAATTCTGATGGTTGTTATTGTAATTTTACAGAACTAAGCGTAAGTAGTGAAGTGGCATCTGTTGAAAGTTCACCAACACCATTAGAGTTTCTAAAGAAATGGGTAATGCCAAATGTCCCTGTCATATTTCGTCAAGCAGTAACACACTGGCCTGCTCTTAAAAAATGGACTAACCAATACCTGAGGTATGTAAATTTAATAATATTTGTATTCTGATTTCCAGTCTTTTAATATAAACTTTTAATACTGTTAACAGTATTTTTTATTGAACGATTTCCACATAACACACATTCATATTTTGACTGTATGTGTGTGTGTGATGGTAATATTTTACTATAAATTTCATTTTACCATTTATAACGTTCATGATACATTTCATCTTGTATTAAGTTCCTGTTTTGTTGATATGTAGCTGAGTCACATGAATATGTAAGTTGAGAAGGCAAGATAATCAGGCTCTGTTTACATTCATGCATTTTGAAGAATTGTGTTGTGAAAATAAGTAAAATTAGTACATGTAATGAATATTGGCAGATCAGTAATGCTTGATGAATGGTCTTGTTTATAGTAACTAAATCCCATGAAAACTGTGTTTTTTTCAAATTCATATCAGATGACAAGATGTTTATGGAACTTTACTATGGACTTTGGGGATAATATGTGGTTTCCTAGAAATTACAGGAAGTATTAAATATGAACTGGATCCTTCTAAACAATGCCTATAAGTCTGATTTTAGCAAACTGACTAAATTATGAATTCATAAATTGCTGGGGTGATCTCATGAGAAAGGGAAGGTTAAACATAGTCGTACTTTAAGTCTGTTTTCCATTGAGGCTTAGAAAATGTTGTTAGGAGATACTAAGCAATAAAAAAAGAAAATTTAGAGAAGCTATTAAAGAAGAATTATGAATAGGAAAACAGTTCAATTTTATATTGGGTAAGAGACAAAATGTTTCTAGTTTTGTATTTTATATATCTGTTCAGGAAAGACATTAAAGATGTATGAATATTGAATAGCTGAACAGTTAAATTTGGAATTGGGTGAATGAAACAAGATTTCTAGTTTTGTGCTGTGCTTGAAGTTTTTAGAGCTGTTCATGCAGTGATGAGAAATGTAGATGCCTCCAACATAAATTGGTGAAATTTGGAAAAGTATTATATAAGTAGGAGTTTCTATAAATTTTTTGTGATCTCATAAAATTAAAATTGCCTGCATCTCTCTCAAAGCTGGTGTTCTAAGTGAAATAGTCATCAGTAACCCTACATGCACTAATAGGAGTAGTAGTGACTGGTTGTGTTGTTAAACAGATACAATTATTATACAGAAATTTTGTATGTTCAGATTGTTTCTGTTTTTTATCAGCTGTTTATTATGTTTTCATGCAGTCAAGTAATGCTGATGTTATTATTGGTGTTTTTTTTTCTAAGAAGATTATCAACATGTTGGAAATATTGAAGAAAGAAGCTACTAGAAAGATATTTGGTTTTAGTTATTTAAGCTGTCAGAAGAGGTTCAGTACTCTGGAATGCAAAATCATAAAGGGACTTGTTTCAAATTTTCAAAATTATTAAGGGCTTGGATAATCTTTCTGTTGATTGTCTGATTGACAAGATGAAAGGTTAGAAATCAAATTTTAATAGTAAGTAAATAGATTTAAATGCATACATTACCTGTAAATTCTTTATTTGGTTAGTATTATTTTCTTTCCCCATTTGTGGTTTGTATTAGTTTTAATGGTAATATTGTTGGGAGTTAAGGCAGCTTACTGTGAATAGTTTTTGCTTTCTTATGTACTGTGCAGTTGTTCTTATTATGTGGTGTTAACTTCAGTAACACAACTATTTACTGCCTCACATGAGCAGGTGTTACTTTGTCTTACTTCTGTTCATAATTTAATGTTTTTTCTTCATAATTTTCATAGGCTTATCTTAAACTTATTGTTTGAGCTGTGTAAATGTGAATCTTTATTTGACACCTTTTTTATTTATGGAGTTTGTATCCATTTGAATCTTCATATTTTGTGACAGTTCAGTTTTTAATGTGTTCATGAATATCATAGCATTTTGAAAATATACTTCAGACCATGGCTATTTGTTCAGCTAGTTGGATGAATAGTCAGGAGGCTATTTGTTTATAGAAAAATGTAAAAGAAAAATATAAAACTGGATTTTTTAAATATTATTTATCAGAACAGTCAATTTTATATATTCAATTATGTCAAACTTGTTTTAGTTTCATCAGTTATTTATATTTATTATTTATTCATACTTATTGATGCAGATATGTAACTGTGAAAATAGCACAAAACATCTATTAATAGTAAAACTGTTGACTGGTATAAATGCAACTTGCACTTGTATCCTAGGCCTACACTGATGTAAGGTATATTTCTGGGGAAGCACAATTATTATCTAATAATTATAATTTGTTTTCACTAACTAAGGAGTTCTTGTATATGTTCTTTGAGTAAAAAATAAATTTAGTATTAAACACAAATAAACAAGGTTTTCCATCATCTGAATAGTTTGCTGTCGCATAAACCCTAGCTTACAATGTTCACTAACCCTAAATATCCTTACCTTATGTCTTCTCATATAGGAATATTCCTGTAGTTTTAAAACATGTAAAGTTTCAGTGCATCTCTGATTTTTCGTTTAATCTTTCTTTGTCTTACCAATTTATCGGATAAACACTGAGTTAAGAATTTAGAGATTTTATTATAATTTACTACTTTGAAATTTTTAGTTATACCTTTTTGGGTGTGGTTTTATTTAATTTTTTTAAATGGATCTGTTAAGGTATTCAAAAAATACTGAATTGTTTTTATTATTTCAAAGAAAGATTACTGAATATTTGTTTATAAGTATGATTCTGTTTTCAGAGATAAGATAGGGCAGAAAGAGGTGACAGTAGCAGTAACTCCAACTGGTTATGCAGATGCTGTATGTGATGGATATTTTGTAATGCCTGAAGAAAGAAAGATGACAATGAACTCATTTATTAATATATTAGAAGGGCATGGACAAGACAATTACATATACTATATACAAAAACAAAACTCAAATCTCACAGAAGAGTTTGAAGAGTTAGTTTCTGATGTCGCAACTGAATTACCTTGGGCAACCAATGCATTTGGTCAGTACATGCATAGGTATGGCAGTGTAATAGTTGTGTTAAACAGAGTGGAGCAAAGTTACTATACAATTGTTAGTATATGGTCGGTGCAATTATTTTTTACACTTGGTAGCAAGTGAAATATTACAAAGACAATTGAAACCAATTTTAGTTTTATTTATTTCAGAGTAAAACATTAGAAATTAAACTGTCTTTCTAAATGAAAAAACTGTATAGTCTTTTACTCCAACTTCTATATTCATGTTAAAATTTATAAATAGAAAAGAGATAAGCATTTAAACTTATTGGTGTAGAATGTTCCCAATATATTACATTTTCTCATATATCAGTTAATACACTATCAAGTTGGGTGACAAGGTGTACGTTTCCGATACGGTACATTACCTCTATTCACATAAACAGCTATTCTCCCTCAGTGCTGCCCTATATATGCAAAAAAAAATAAAAAAAAATACACATACCACAAGCCTTCTATCTCCCCTCCATTGTAATTGACTGATTCCAATGCGTCTCTCATGCAAATCATCATGTGTCAACCCTCCACCAATAAGAGTGTGACATACTCTCATGATGCATGTGACTCCCCCTGTTCAATTCCACCGAACTATCACTTTGAGTTTTGGATTGTAGTTGACTTGCCACAGGTATGATCCTCTTTCCTACCCCCACATGGATGTTGGTTCCAGGTGGCCTGGGTTTTGGATTGTAGTTGACTTGCTGGTGGTATGATCCTCTTTCATACCCCCATATAAATGTCAGTTCCAGGTGGCCTGGATTTTGGATTGTAGTTGACTTGCTGGTGGAATGGTCCTCTTTCCTACCCTCACGTGGATACTGTAGTTGACTTACCAACAGTATGATCCTCATCCTACCTCCGCGTGGATGTCGGTTCCCAGTGGCATGGGTTTTGGATGTAGTTGACTTGCCATCTATGGTCTGTCACATCCTAGCCACTCTACACCTATGGCACATCCTATTCATTTTACCCACTTTTATAATTTCTGGGATTGAGTTTCATAAATATTGCATGGTTTGGATCACTTTCTGGCCATAGTTCTCTCCCAGTTTGATTTGCTCCTCTGTTTTCTGCCTATATATGCGACATATTTCTACGATGGGCGAAGAGTATACCTGGTTCAGAAGTGGTGCGATTCCCCACATCAGTTCTTAGAATCTGACTATCTCATCTTAAGGAGTGCTTTTTTTTTCTTTCTCCTGCACGGGTCCCTCCACTTATTCAGTGTGGGATTCTAGCTATTTATGTGAGAGGAGGTAATGTACTGTATCAGAAGTTATAATTTTCCTATACTGAAAATGTATTTTCAATAGGTACTTACCTCCTCTCACCCTTCTTACCTACTGAAAACAGGTGCTTCCATCTTCTGCCAAAACTCGAAGTGATAGTGTAGTACAATTGAATAGAGGGAGTCATTTGCATCATGAGAGTATATCGCACTCTTATTGGTGGAGGGTTGACACATGATGATGTGCATGAGAAATGCATTGTAATCAGTCAATTACAATGGAGGGGAGGGGGGATTGAAGGCTTGTGTCATGCATAAAATTTTGTTTTGCATATATAGGGCAGCACTGAAGGAGAATACCTATTTATTTGAATGGAGGTAAGTACCTATTGGCAATACATTTTCAGTGTGGGAAAATTATAACATCAGTTTGACAGTTGTTTTTCAAATGTTCCAATTTTCTGAATCACATATATTCATAAGTTTAAGAATAAGAAAACAGTTGTTAAAATTTGCTGATACTCTTCAATCAGTATATCTGTAAAAAACTTGGCACTTTCAAAAACATAAAACAAAGAGTATTTTCAAAACTTATTTGTTAACAAAGCTGGTAAAAGCACTTTTCATGAAACAGATAAACAAAAAATATGAAATGTGAAAGTTAATATAATATTTTGAATAATATGATGTATATTATTGAACTGTTATATATATATTAGTTTTTTTTTTACTTTGGGTTGTCTGAAAGTTACTTTAGGCCCCTGGTTAATGATAGTCTATAGAACAACAACCTAGCCTGGTGGTTAGGGTGCTTGACTTGCAATCTGTAGGTCACAGGGTCAAATCCCCATTACACCAAACATGCTCGCCCTTTCAGTCATGGGAGTGTTATAATGTGATGATCAATCCCACTATTCATTGGTAAAAGAGTAGCCCAATAGTTGGTGGTGTTAACTAGCTGCCTTCCCTCTAGGCTTTCACTGCTATATTAGGGATGGCTAGCACAGATAGCCCTCATGTAGCTTTGCTCAAAATTCAAACCAAGAACAAGAACCTGAATTAAAAAGGACATATTTTTTCATCAGTTTTATAGATTTGACTTTGATGATTCATATGGTTTTATATTATTCAGTTGCTGCTTCTAACATACCAACAATATGTTTATAATTTTTAGGTGTGGAGCCTGATGCAGTCAACTTCTGGATGGGAGACAAAAGAGCTGTTACTTCAAGTAAGTCTGTGTGAGCCACACTTAACGAATATTGTGTTGCTTTCACCATAAGATGGTAACTTGTTTGTTTGTAAGAAAGCATATAATTAAATTTGTACTTTGTTTTATGCCAGTAAAGATAAGAATGATAATTTCTAAAGTCTGAAGTAAGACATCTGGATGGAGGTTAATTTAGAAATGCTTGATTAAAAATTATTTGTAAAACTCCCTAATTTATTATCTGAACAAACTGATGGTAGGATGGCAGATGCACAAAAGAGTTCAGTGCAAGGACTGCAGTGGTGAAAGTGTTGTTTAGTGAAAAAAAAACAAAAATGAGGAGCTTTTGACCACAAAGTTGAATTGAGTATTAAAGAAAACACTATATGAGACTGGTTTGGAGCAGAGACATAAACAATTAGGGACTTTTGGGATGTGCATTTGACAGTCGATAGAAAAAAATCAGCTGGACTGAAATGATAAGTAATGAAGAGGTGCTTGAGATGAAGGAAGAAAATAGAACCATGAGGTCAGAGAAGGAAGGATTCAAGAGAAATTAATAACCTAGGGATAGGAAAAAGAAAAGTACTGCTGGACTAGTTAAGAGATGGAGGATTGTGTGGTGAAATGGATAGCTGAGCTAAAGGGAGAGTTTGAGGAGATGCTGAGATAATAACCTGTCCTTTGGTCAGTTAGTTAGACACGAAGAGGGCTATACTTTCCTAATTTTTTTATTGTTATATGTTTTCTCAAATATTCAAGTACTTAAGCAAAAGTATGTTGTACATAACCAGCTAGGTGTATGCTGCACACAATTGTGCTTAAGAACTTCTATATATAGGAAGTTAAGTTTGAGATTAGTTTAAAATTACCTTTTCTGTAAACACTTAATAGAAAATCATATATAACAGTGGCAATTGGTGATGTTTGTGGCAAGTGAGACGCATGCTATATAGATGGCTACATTTTTAACCATCTGAAATCAATATATATGTCACATTCTGCAACTTAGTGTCTCTGCATAGCCCATTTTTTAATCCTTGTTGGGCAGTCTGTAACTTTTCCATCTTAGCTCTTCTGTCGAGATGGCAATGGATCATTTTAGCATGCTCAGTGTTCTTTGTTTGAATGCACTTACTGTTTACACATGCAGCAATTAATTAACATTTCATTACAGCATCATAGGTTATCAAAACTAAAACATAATTCATGATAAAAAACAAATGTTTCATTTAAGTGTTCAGATTAGATACATGATCATAGAAGTTCTGTGTGATGCAATGCCTTACCTAACAAGCTGCTACTAATATATAAACTCTTCATAAGTTGGTATCAGTTTATTTTGAACTGCTTTAATTTCTGTATATATACATATTTTTTTTTTTCTAGTGCACAAAGACCATTATGAGAACATATACTGTGTTGTTCGAGGCCAGAAAGACTTTATTTTGATCCCACCAACAGATCTTCCGTGGATTCCTTATGGTATCAGAAACTTGTGTTTTGAATTGTGTTTGTTTGGCTAGGTTATTAATGTTATATTTCTCATCATCTAACAACTTAAACTTCCTACCAAGCATTTTGATTGGTGCATCAATTTAATCCTCTTAACAGTGCCATCTGAATGATTCAAACATATTCACAAAACTTCATTTTTTAATACACCAGTCAAACAAATTGTATTTAATAATTGCAAGTTTAGACCTAAAATTAATAAAGAGCTTAACAGCAAATGTATTTTGACTTATTTTTTCATTTTAGATGATTTGATTTGCTTAATTTCTTTACTTTCAGTATCTTTAATTGTCAAGAAATATACTTTTTAGTTGTTTTGTTTTCTAATCACAGAAATAAAAGTGTGTGATAATTGATAGGAAATTAGGTAAATTAACTTTGGGATGACTGATATTTGGTTATAAAATGAGCAACCTTTTCTAGTGTGTAATCTGCAAAAGAAAGTGATTAATATCTTAGTTTTGTGTGTTTTTAAGAATACAACAAATTTTAGTAATTTATTCAAACTGAAAAAAAATATCTGTCTGATGTAATAGGATAAAATAAATAAAATCATAGCCTGCAAAGTGAAGGGAATGAAGTAGCAACTTTGTCACCATTATATGTATAATAATGATATCTTGTTATGATGCTCATATTTGTTTGCTCTAATATTGGGGGAAAATTAACAAGCTGTACCTCTATTTTAAACTATATTATATACTTTTTCTGCATTTCTAGAAAATTTCCAAGCTGCAGTGTATAAAACTGCTGACAGTGGTCAATTTCACATCGAAAAGGATGAATCAGTTGGTGTTGTAAGTAACTACTAAAATTTTAACCTTAAATTCTCAGCACAATTATAGAGTGGTTAGTAAATGTACAAAGACAAACAGTGTATCTGCCCTAAAGTAAACAAGGTTTTTATGAATTAAATAAATATGACAAGATTCCAGCTGTTCAATAAAATCATTATACATCATCCAAGACTTTTTTGCAGATATTAAAGGTCTGTAAGATTTTCAGATAAACCAGATTTTTAGAATTGAATATTTGATTTCATTTTTTTAGTTTTTGCTACATAAAAAAAAAACAACAGACAACTTGTGTTTTTTCTTGTCAGGTCCCGTGGATACCAGTTGACCCTGAGCAGCCTGATTATCAGTGCTATCCCAAGTTCCAGAGAGCCACAAAATTGCGGTGCACTGTACAAGAAGGAGATGCTCTTTACTTGCCTTCTTTATGGTTCCATCACGTAAGACAGTCACATGGTTGTATAGCAGGTAGGTAGAACTGTTCACAGTTTGGAATGATATGTATCTTATACCAATGCCACTGTTTGATATTGATTCTGGTATCTGTCACCCCATGTATCCAGAGCTGTACTGATTGTTCATAGCATCCTATGTACGATATATATTTTCTGTGTCCCTCCTTAGCAAAATCTAATTTATACTTGCCTTCAAAGATGCAAACTTGCACTCCCATGGATCGGTGTTCTGTGCAGATGCACCGCTCTAACTACCTTCTATATGGCTCTAGCATGTATTTACAAGTTATCTGTTGAACTCAAATGATTATGTGCTATAAAGGGAAACACCCAGGCTCACTGTGAGATATAGTAATATAGAGTTGCCAGTTTATAGTTGAAATCCATTCAGGCAAGTGAATGGGGAAAAGAATGAAACCATTATTACAGATCAGTATTATGTAAATAACTGTAGAGTTATTACTGTGTAACTAAGTTCATTTAGTAGTGGAACTAACTACAGATACAAAGTTGCTGAGTTGACACTTAGGTAGAAGAACTAACTTCAGCCTCATGATTGGTTGTTAATGGAGAAACTAGTGATAGATAGATACACACTTGCAATTTGGCTGTTATGATAAAAATCTATGTTGTATTAGGTAGTACCACAGAAAATATTCAAATACGGTGGACTTTTACACGTATCTAACTATCACTAGTTTCTCCATTAACAACCAATCATGAAGCTGCAGTTAGTTCTTCTACCTAAGTGTCAGCTCAGCAACTGTGTATCTATAGTTAGTTCTACTACTACTGAACTCAGCAGTTAGTTACACAGTAATAACCCTACAGGTAATTGTAGTAGTACTAATCTGTTATAATGGTTTCTTTCTTTTTCTTGTCACTTGCTTGAACATGTATATATGTGTGCGTGTGTGTATTTAAACAAATAATCCTTTTTTTTAATTTTGAAGTTTATTGGAAAATTGAAAAATATTTACTGTATCAGAGGTTGTTTGTAATTTAAATATCAAACAACACTAAGAAATAAATATACAAGAATGCTGTTCAGATTAGTAACTCTTAGCTGTAGTATTGTAATTGCATCTTACAACTTAAAATATTAAAATTTTGTCAAAATTAGCATGCCCTCGAGTGGCTCAATGGTAAGCTTGAGAGCTTATAATGCTAAAATTTAGGCTTTAATTCATGTTATGGGCACAGAGCAGAAAGCCCATTGTGCAGCTTCATGCTTAAACAAAACAAACAGAATTATCACATGAAGTTAATCTGAGAATTAAAAAATAAATAAATTGGTGATGTAATTTTTCCTATAAAAATAGTCTTTCTTCAATGTGAATTTCATTGATTTGTAAATTGTTGTAAAGTTACATAACTATGAATCAAGGTATTGTAAGTAGCTTATTTAATAACATTTAATAAAAGATATTTTTTTACTTGTTTGGAGCAGATGTATTCATATTATAATTTTTTAATGTATATATATTTTACACAGTAATTTGCCTGATGATAAATGCTGCTACACCATTCAATAACTAAAGTTAATATATTCTTTTATTTTTAGTAAACTTCTGGTATGACATGGACTTTGATGTCAAATATGCTTATTTCAAATTCCTGGAGAGACTTTCAAATCTTGTTTTTCCATTAGATCCCACCTCTTAGTGATAGATAATGCCCGTAAGTTTTATTAAAAATACATTGTTATATAAAATTTTGTTTTCTGAGCTGGTATCCTGAATCAAACCTTATTAACGTTTTAAATACACCAACCATGATAAAATACTAACTAACTGTTATGGGATTGAAGTAGCAAAGTAATTTTTATTCATAATCAGATTATGTTAAAAAAAGGTGATGATAGTTTTAAATAAACTTTATTGGAATAATATAAGTAACGTATGGTTTTTATAGCTGTGGTTTACAACTTGCAGCCACCTAGAGATTCCAATGTGCTTCTGCTCACCGTTGTGTATAAAAACTGATTCAGACTTATTGTGTTGTTCCAGATTATAGACTTTCAGAAGGAATTTCAATAGCATTTTTATTTCCCTTGTTTACAATGATTCTGTGTGACTCACCCCAATATTGTACATTATACAATGGAATGTAGTCGAATCACAATATTATTATTCAAACCATACTTAATGGCCCATCTAATAAATGGGACTGGTTTGTTCCTACTTAATAACAACTGCTAAGTATTATTTTGTACTACTTTAAAATAACACCCGTAAGCATTTTTTGTCATGTACATAATTTATATGGGTCATATAATAGCGTTTCTTTTTTTTTTGAAGAATCGCTTTATGTCAGACATAATGTATAACAGTCACTCATCTACAGTAACATATATACATATATATGTATATAGATATAGAACATACTTAATAAATCTATTCCTCCTGTAAGCATTGAATTTAAAGTTACCTATATAATGATAATATAACAGATAAAAAAACACTCCCCCATCCATATATATATATATAATAGTATTCTTTCTCTGACTTCATTTTTTATTCATTTCTGAAGATGTAAAATTTTCTTTCATAACACCATATTACATAAATCTCTTAACTAGCTGATAACAGTCATAACAAAAACAATTATGGCTTGAATTCAACTTTTAGGCTTTACACATATCTTTATATCTACAAATAATATAAAATACATACTTAAAGCTCAAACTACGTACTCAGCAAATATTGGTATATAGGTTATGCCTAAATCACAGTATATATTTACTTAGATCACAACTACCATCTAGTTACACAGTGTCAGTCTTCTAGTTCAAATGGTACAATTGTACTGCTATGAAATCAAAGCTTCAACAATTCAGAACTAAACACCTTCATAAATATAAAAGAGGTTAAAATAAATTTGAAAGGTTTATTTTGATACAGTGAAGGCTATGTATATATAAAGAGCCTGTTGCTTGATTTTTCTTTGCTTAGAATTTGCGATTTACATGTTTTTTGTTTAGTTTTGGAATGCCTGCAGGACCTGAAAAAATGATGTTTATTTTCCTATTTTTTGAAAGTTGTTCCTTAAGTTGTAAAGATCCAGTTGGAGTATACCTGATTCTCACTGATAGAAACAACAAAGAATAACCTCAAAAGAATATAAATATAACAGGATTGTTTATACATTACAGATTGTGAAGTTTAAAGCTATTATGTAATGTAAAACCATTTGGTTGAATGGACAACCATTCCATAAAATGGATGAGTTCACAATGTGGATATGACAAGAGTTTCTCCACCACTATGTCTAGTGCATGGAGGAGACTAGTTTTTTTTTTACAAGAAACTTTACACCTGTTTCTTGGAGCTTATTTAGATGACTAGCTTAAGTACTAATAATTTTACTATTTCAATGAGTACCTGAACAACCTGTTTTGGTTGTTGTTTTAAAATAAGAACAGTTACTTGCAAGATTTTCTGTATGGTTAGTAAGCTTACAGTTCTTCTATTTAAACTCAAAGCTAAAATGACAAATTTTGAATTAACAAAGATACCTTGCATAGGTTCAATCTTTGGCTTAAACTATTATTTTCAGCACTTACTAACAGTAAATTGACTATAACTATCAAGATTCAGACAAATAGAACTATCAAACAATTGACATTAATCTCATCTTTCAACTATTATAACAAGAACAAGTTACAACAAGGCCTATGAAATAAACATTAACTACAACTAATGCTATTAATAATAGAACTCAGCAGCTTTAGAACATTGATACCAGAAAAGACATAGAGACAGATCCTCACAATAAGAATGGCCCTCTAGTGACCAGATTTAGAGCTGATTGCAATTTTTTGAATCTTCCTTGTTACATAACAACTAACTATTAATATTTTGGGGACAGTGAGGCCTATGTAAAATAAACATGCTTTAACATGCTAATATGTACGTCCATATGCATATGGTATGGTTGTTATTAGTAGTGATCAGTTTCAGTCAGTCATTCTATTTTATCAAACCATACAACTTTATCTTAAAGAGAGAAGGCACCACCTATGTATATGGAGATGCAATTTACTGTAAAACCTCAACCATACTTTTATATATGTAGTAGTCACCTCTGCAGGTATATTCCTTATGCATATAGTACATACACATTAACATAGTTTCTATACACCCCAACATTTTTTTTTTCCAAGTAACGTTGATAGGCTGATACTGATGAATGGATAAAAATGAAATAAACACAACAACCTGGGGGGGTCTTTCGATGTGTTTGGTTAATTTTTCTTTGTTTGTCTGTACAAACATCTATGTACAATCTCTAGGACGCATTTTTTTCTTTCATATTTGAGCAGGAAAGGTTCATGGAATGAGTGCTGAACACAGTGCATCAGTTTATTGCACCCCACCCACCTGGAGTGTTTCTTTCATGAATTATTGCAGTTCTGTCTTGGAGTTACTGATGCTCACCATCCAGAGCTTCCAGAAACTTTTCCTGGATAGCATATGGTATCACCTTATGTCTGTAGTGAAAACAAAATAAATTAGTCATTATGAAAAATTATAAATTAACTTCTTCTTTTTTTGTATTTACAAATCAAATTGTAATTGTGATTTTAAATAAACAACAATAACCTACTTTGTGGTCATTTTCCAAAATGTATTGACATTCATTAGGTACTGATGGAACTTAATACAAATGTACTATAATAGGGTTAAGAGTGGATTTAGAAAAATAGATTTCCAAAAATCTGTTGTTTTTTTTTACAGGAAGTAAAAAAAAAATTATATATCCTTCCTTACCTAATAGGTAAAAGTAGAAGTATGATGATAGGGAAGACCATCTTTACATAGGGCCATGGCGAGAAACCAAAGAAACACATAGCGGCCAGTTGAATAACTTGGCATAAGGTAAATACATGAATCTTTCGTTGTGGGCAGCGTCTGATGTAATGATTGGGTGGGTAGGCAGTCTGTAATAATGGAATTTGAAACTGATTTTAATCTATAACAATATATTGCTAGTTCAGCAAAAAAATACACATTTTCAAGAATCTTTGTTGTGTTTTCTTTCAGTCAGTTTGAAATTCAAATACAAAAAAAAAAGCATACACTAAAGAAAAAGAAAACAAAATGTCTTTGTAAAAAGAGAATTAAAGATGTTTTAATAAAACAGGTCATGTGAAACAAATGTATTGATCAATCTCCATAAAGAGCAAACAGATATTTTGATATACCCATGGCAAGGAACATTGATAAACCTGTGGAAAGGAAAATGGACACATTTATATACATTTGGATGTGACTACAGCCATATTTATAAACTTGTTAACATAACATGCCACTAATGAGGGACCATTTGTTCCTTCAAGGCGTCCTCTTGTCTACCCTTTAGAAAAGTAAAAATGTAGATCCACCCTTTACTTTTCAGGAAATCATTGACCCCCCTGGTGTCAGTAATGAGTACCAATACATGTGGGGAGATAGTGATGAACATGTTCTCCAGAGATGGATACTTTTATTATTCAAGCACACCATTTTACCTGTCAATAACATAGTTACAATGTAGTGCTTTATAAAGAATACTGATTACACATACTATTCTCTTTGATTTTAATTCTGTACAGAACAATATAACAAATGTTTTCTGAAGATGATAACATTATAATCGAACCTATTCACCTCAGGTTATATGAAACATTATATGTTGAGATAAAAGAAAAGTTTAAGTTTTGTTTAATCAAATTAAAAAGAAGAAATAATATCATAGTGTGGAAAAATGGGATAAATGAATTATGGATGAGGAGATAGGAATGATAAAAGAGAAATATGGCAAGATGCCAGTGAAGAAAAATATGGTAAGAATAATGAAAAAACCATAAAGAAATAAAACTATGAGATTGTAAAGTAGCATAAATAAAGAGAAGCTTATAAAAATATCATGTAAAAACAATAATAGGAGATTTGGCAACAATAGAGGGTATTCAGAAGAAATGCAGCAGTGAGTAATATAAAACACAAGAAACAATGATATTCTATATAAACCTGCTCTGTGAAGAGCAGAGTAATTCTTTCAAACATCTGGTTGCCATTCAGTGAAGTTACAGCCATGTAGAGGAAAAGTCCATTCAGAACAGCAGTTGGAATGTAACCTAGTGGGTATGGTAGTAAGAACATTGACAAACCAATCAGGATGTGAGATGCAATACCAGTCAGCCGTGTTTCTCTGACTTTGACAATTCTGTAAGTACCAAAAAAAAAAGCATTTTAGAACTAGTATCATTTGTTATGGCATTGTTCTTAAAGCCTAAACATAAGGAACTTTTTTATGTATATTTTTTACACTACTCAAATAGTTACAGGTAGAAAAAATAACTTTATATCAACATAATGAGAAACAATGGTTTTCTTTTTCAGGGGACAGAGACATTGAAGAAAAGAACTATTCTTTCTTGTAACACTGGGATACAGATATATTTTATTTATATTTATTTAATTAGTTGAAAAAGTAAAAAATATTTCTTTCATTATCACTTCTTCTAGTTATGAAATGGTTTTAATAAACTAAACATAATCATATTTTGTGTATGTGAAGCAGTGGACAATCTCACATTATTGTACAGCATAAACTAATATGAAACTCTCAATAGTTAGTATAATTGGTGAATATGCATTTTTCTGTTACAGTACTATGAGCAAGGAGATAAACATATAAGACTTAAATGGTAAGAAGTGTTTTGCATTATTTTTTTCACATTATAACTGTTTGGCATTTAAAAAAAACAAAGATAAAACACATCATAATCACAGTATTTACATACTGTAAAAATATACCATTGTAACAAATAGTTTAAGAGAAAAGTGATACAAGATAGTGACGTTTTATTTAAGAAAAACATATCGGTGATAATGATTGAAAGTTTTAACATGTTATCTTTATGCATCTGACATAATCTGATGGTTTTAGTATATTTTGGAATGAGTTCAAGTAGCTGTCTTAGTCAAGAGTGCACATTTAGGCCAGGTAAGGTTACCATAAGATTAATAATCCACTTATTCAACTGTTGTTTACTACTATTATATAAGTGCTGTGATGGAGAGAATTCATGAATAAGCCAGTTAAGATCTATGGTACAATTTATTAACTATTGCATACTGCTATTATATAAGTTCTGTGATGGAGAGAGTTCATGAATAAGCCAGTTAAGATCTATGTTACAGTTTCTCAACTATTGCTTACTACTGTTATATAAGTTCTGTGATGGAGAGAGTTCATGAATAAGCCAGTTAAGATCTATGGTATAATTTCTCAACTATTGCTTACTGCTGTTATATAAGTTCTGTGATGGAGAGAGTTCATGAATAAGCCAGTTAAGATCTATGGTACAATTTCTCAACTATTGCTTACTGCTGTTATATAAGTTCTGTGATAGACAGAGTTCATGAATAAGCCAGTTAAGATCTATGGTATAATTTCTCAACTATTGCTTACTGCTGTTATATAAGTTATGTGATGGAGAGAGTTCATGAATGTTGAATGTTGCGTGCGCAGCTTTTCAAATGGGAGACAGACGAACGCTCGGACAGACACCGCAGTTCGCAATATATATATAAAATATTTTCCCTACTGTCATCCTTAGGTTTTTAGTGTTATAAATTAGTCTGAATGTGTATTTGAAGTCATTAAAGAATTATAACATACATCTCGTAGATGTGTCCTTGTTCAACACGTTCCTCGACGTCTGCTAAACTTCGAACATGAAGTGGTGAGTGTGGTAAAACGCCATGCATCCACGGAAGCCCGAACAAGGAAAGAAACCCGTTTAATATACCCACCACAAAGAGGTCCAGGTGGTAACCCGGGCCTTTCTTCAACCTAAATATATGGAATATAGTATATAAAATATGGACTTTTATTGGCCAGTTAATTAAGACTCTCTGATTTTTTGTTGTTAGTCTAAAAAGTTCATGTATTCCAGAAGCTTCACTTACTGAATCAGTTGTTAATATCTCTTTGTTGTCTATACACATTGTTGTTGTCTTTGTTGATTTCACATTTATCGAATCAGTATTGTTTATTTCCGGTATTTTAATGTACTTCTATGAAGAACTAGACAATGCCTTGTTGTAAAGTTGTGTTTACCACATCTATTTGGTCGTAGTGTTATAAATGATATCAAACACTTAGTTACTCATATTGTTATAAATGATATCAAACACTTAGTTACTCATATTGTTATAAATGATATCAAACACTTAGTTACTCATATTGTTATAAATGATATCA